GGGTTAGTTGTTAAGGGCTCATAATTCAGACACGATCTAGTATCTAAATCTTTTAAACGATTAAGTGATTTTGATTTGGTCTTGAACTAGATCCACTAGTTCGGCCACTTGTCATTGATATCGATGGTGTTAATCAGGGCCACCATTACGTAGTTCAAAAGATGACCCTTCTAAGAAATATACATCGTCACACTACCATGTATATGATGCATTAGTCATGATGTATATTAATGATAGGTGATTACATATATCACGATCAATGACTAAATAAGACAATATCTTAGTGAAGTAACATATATTTATAAAAATCTTAATTACTACTAGTAGTAGTTGATTGCATCCAATCTATAACGTGTGAATTTCTTCCAATTCCAAAGATTCATTAACTATGGCCGGCCAATGATGGCTTTCATTATTCAACTTAAGTTTCCGTAGCTTCCTTGCTCATACAATAATGATGCACCTACTAGTTATAAATGTATGTAGTTGATGTCTACATATTTATAAAAATTAGTTGAATTTTGTAAGCTTAATTCAAGAGAAGACTAATTTTATCTGTTAACTGCATGATTGTAGCAACATAGATAAAAACGCTAAAGGCTTGAGACGGTATATAAACTTACTAAATCTAGAAGGAAAAAAATCATGAAATGTTTCTTTCTGCCTTTTTTTTATTGCACGGTTTTATTTAATTATTTAAGCATGCAATGTTTTTTATCACCAGTATCGATGAATACTCATAAAGTCATAAGTCATAACCAAAATCTCTCGTCAAATGAATTGAATATTCTAACTTTAAAAACGTCTTTTATTTGTGAATGGATTGAGTACACATATATGGCATATATGTTGACACATCCTTAGACATACAAACATTATTTCAAAGAAACATATATAATATTAAATCATAATATATATGCTTATTAAATATTTGGGATGAATAATTGTTGCAGTATACAATGGAAAGAGGAGTAGTACATGCATGTCATGCAGGAGGAGTGGTTCATTCACTAGAAGGGTGGACACATCACGAGGTTGGTGCAATTGATGTGGATAGAATTGATGTGGTGTGGAAATCTGCAATGAAGTACGGTTTAAAACCTGTTTAAAGTTTGGATAATTACTTATAATAATTAAGAACTTAAAAAGGGGGTAATCCAAATTAAAACCCCTAAATTTTAATGATTCTTGTAATTTGCAAGTCTCCAATTTTCTTCTTGCAAAATCGCTTTGATTAATTTCTTTTTGTAATTGCTTCAATATTAGAGAATAGGTCTATTTCATTTTTAGCTTGTATTATTCATTCCATGTATGTAGTTAATATGAAAACAAAAAAGAAAATTGTTATATAATAACACTACTATATATATTTATATATAGCATTGTATTCATTTATGATATAAATAATAATTATTGCTATATGCTTTTACGATTCAATTCTACTACATAGTTATCAATGGGAATGCTCAAATTTAGGGTATCCAAGCAGTAGCTAATAATACCTTGATTAGAAATTTTGATAGTTGAATACTAGCTAGTCTCCTATACACCATTGAGAAAAATCTATCAAGTGGTTTTCTAGCACTTCAATCAATCAAGTTAATTATATTATGCTTGATATATATATAGTACTATGTTGTACCGGGTATGATTTAGATTTATTGTACGACGCACATCATTGGAGTATAATTAATAATAAGTACACATATTTTACAAAGTTAAATGTTTAAACTGTAATTCTTTGTACTCCATATATATAATAGGATATTTTATGAAAAACTACCTTTTAAATTTTGAATTTTGCGAAAAACTACCCTAAAAACAAAATGTTGTAATTAACTAAGCTACCTGATAAAGTATAAAATGTTGTAATTAACTACCTTATATTATATAAAATGTTGTAATTGACTACCTCCCACCGTAATAACACATTTGATTTTTATTTTCAAGTGTTGAACATGTCATGTGAGGGTCACATGACCCTTTAATGACTTAATTCCCCCCTTTCTCCCAAATTTTCCCGCTTTATACCAACTCTTTTCCTTAACAATACAATTAATCATATTTTAGATTGTTTATTTGCAACCTCTTTGATAATTATATGGGCTGAATTGGTGTAAAGCGGGGAAATTTGGGGAAAAGTGGGGGATTAAAGTCATTAAAGGGTCACGTGACATGGTCAACGTCGAGAAATAAAAGTCAAATATGTCATTTCGGTAGAAGGTAGTCAATTACAACATTTTATATTTTATAAGGTAGTTAATTATAACATTTTGTCTTTAGGGTAGTTTTTCGCAAAATCTGGAATTTAAAAGGTACGTAGTTTTTCACAAAAAAAAAATCTATATAATAATTATTCATAAGATAATGCACGGTATAGTAAATCATATATGATGTAATTAAAAGTAGTCCGTAATTTTTCCCAATAGTCTAATACATAGTAGATGGATAGGACATGTTATAAGCTCTGATCTATTTGGTTCACATAAATAACATGGATATTAATAGTTTTCTCAACTATTGATTAGAAAATGAATACAGCAACCACATTAAAAGAGCTTGGATATAACTCTCCCTTACGTAATTGCTACATACCTTCCAAGCTTCCACCAATAAAAAGGGTCATCAATTAAATTCGTTGTCTCAACAACGTAACTCGTTTACAATTTCAGATCAGAAGTCAAATAAAATACACGTGTCTATGTTGGATTATTACAATGTCAATGTTTGTCACAAAGTATCTCAATTGCACCGCCCCTTGTGATGAGTTGTCACCCTTCATGGACTGATCAAGGAGATTAGCATAACAAGTGGCTATTCCATATATGCCAAAAGCTCTAATGTATTTTTTTTTCTTTGTTGTTTATAGATTGTGCCACAGCGGTAGGGTGAGAATCGATCCCAATATTTTCTGAAATTAAAAGAGAAGCTTTAATCACTTAGAGCATGATCTGATTAACTAAACGGAACTGATTGGAGCTGAACTGAATTGAATATTTTATGATAGAAGGAAATTAAGAACTGAACTGAACTTATTGGAGCTGAACTGAACTGGACTTATTGGAGCTGAATTGAACTGAAAATAAGCTGAAGATAACAAATCCTTAATCTTTAACCAAAAGTTTTAATATTACTAGGGGTTGTACAGAGTGCGGTTTAGACCGCACCAAACCGCAATTTTGCGGTTTAGACCGCACCAAACCGCAATTTTGCGGTTTGGTGCGGTTTGCGGTTTGAAATTTGCGGTGCGGTTTTTAAAAATGACCAATCGCGGTTTGCGATTTCAAAAAATATTGAGACCAAACCGCACCGCAAACCGCACTTTAATGCGGTTTATGATTTTTATACTATATTTTCATTAATATTATATAAAAGAACTAAATTATATGAGCTAATCTTTAAATATTAGTTAATTAAAGATTAATTAAAAGAGTTTAATATTTGAATCATAAACTAATAATTATAAAATAAAATAAAAGTTTTATTTTTAAAAGAATAATTACAATTTTAATAAAATATGGTTAAATCGCAAATCGCACTGCACCAAACCGCATTTTGCAGTGCGGTTTGGTGCGGTTTTTTTAAAAGTACGGTTTGGTGCGGTTTGAAAAAATTACAAACCACACCGCGCGAACACCCCTAAATACTATATGAGTTGAGATCCTCTTTTGTTTGATTCATTTTGATTTTTCTATTTTACAATAATATCAAGTGAAAGGAACAACCCCCTCAAAAAAAAAAAAAAAAAAAAAAGTGAAAAGAACTAAAAGAATACATTGGATGGATTAGTGTACATAAATTACTAAAATGAATAGATCAATGGAATTCATCTAATTAGCATCACCTTTAAATTTACAGTATTTACTACAACCACTAGCAATTTATACTTTCGCTTACTAGCTATATTAATTTTTAAACAACAAGCAATAGTTGTATAATTAGTAAGAACCAGTTATAAATAGTGATCAATCATTTCTAATCAGCAATATAAATTTCGAAAACAATATGAAACGGGTTTGGAGGAGAGTTAGGTCCACAAACAAGGTCAAGGAGCTTCCACTCCCCCTCACTTGTGAGTGTCCTTAGAACTTAGAGCACACCATAAGGTACAATATAAATCCTCTTTGGGAATGAAGATTTAATAGAGGCCCCTTAACCAGTGGCTTGACAAATACCCAATTTTAAACGGCCCTACAAACCTGGCTCTGATACCATGTTAAATTTCGAAACAATATGAAACGGGTCTGGGCAACCCGAACAAAGAGGAGGAGAGTTAGGTCCACAAACAAGGTCAAGGAGTTTCCATACCAAAACCAATTGACAATAGTAGGAGTAACTCCTCTATCTTATAAAGTGGAACCACCTCTCCTTTTTCTCTAATGTGGGACAGCCACAAGTGGGCTACAATGGATTTCAATAGCCTTGGTTATCGTGTCTAAAAATGAACTTCCAATCAACAATATTCAATTTAAAAACTAACTATTCCAATCAATCAATTTAATCAACAATATTTAGTTTTAATCAATACGACACTGAAAAATATTTTGATTCAGAAAAAAAATCACATACCAAAGACCTTGATTTGTCTAAATATTCACTTCCAAAATAATTAATGATATTAGATGATCTTATGGTGTAGAAATATTCAAATATCTATCACTTACATTCAGGCCCTGCTCTCTTCAGCTTAATTTCAATTCAATTCAATTATGTTCAGTAAATTAGAACAAGCCCTTAGTATAATTCAATTTAGTGAAGGATTTCAATCATCTTTTGATCAAATGAAAAATTAAAATCATTTCTCTCTTTTTTAGTTATGGGCTAGTTATAGACCGTGTACACTTATTTTACCAGGTTCGTATTAATTGGACTACTGGGCTACAGGCCCAAATTCCTTTTTTTTGAAAGAACTACAGGCCCAAATTCCTTGCAATGGGCAAAATGATATACATTCAATTATTTTTTTTCAAAGAAAATAAAGTGATAAAAAGAAAATAAATTTGATGACACGTGAAATGGTGTGAAAGTTACACGTGTTAAATAAGCATGATAAGAGTTAAACCTGTCAACCGCCTAAACCTTGCTCACAAAACCCTCAACACAAAATAGCTTTGTAAACAAAAACTCAAACTCAAACTCAACACAAAATCTGAAATAGTATTTCATTATTATCAAAATTACTGAGTATAAAATCAAACAATTGATTAGAAATGGAAGGAAGGAAAGATTTGGGAGTGCAAACAAAAAGGCTTTTGAAGCGTATTACCAATAAGAACAAGATTAAGAAGAAAAACAGAATTAGTAGTATTAATTTTAGCAATATTTTTCCAGATTTTGCTAATTATCTTAAATCTGATTCTTATTTTTACTCCCACTTCATCTCTTCTTCTCACCCGTCTCATAATTCAGCTCCATTTGATGCTTTTCTCTCTTTTAGAGGTAACTTATTTCATCTTTATTACAGTACTTTTTAATTTCTTGTCTTTATTTATTTATTTTTGGGTAATATAAATATTTTATTGATAATAAATATGTGCATTTCATCTTTTGTGTTAATTACATCCCAATATAATCCTTTAAATGATAGATTAGTAATTTAGTATGGTATTATATGTTATGTTATTGTGTAAGTGTAACACTGTAAATGTCTAAAGGGTATAGGCCCTATAGGCAAATTGTGCCATGCCTAGGCCAAATTTCAATTATTTTATCGTGCTTTTGTCTACTATTGTGAGTTTGTGACGGGTTGACCTTAAAAGTGTCAAAATCACACCTGACCCAATTCAAAACTGACTCGAAAAATATAGGATTCAAATTTCAACTCTGTGGACATAATAATTTAACATTGACTTGGATTTAAAAATTTACCCGACCCAACCTCATTAGAACTAATTCGAACATCTGAATTGACACCGGTAGTTGGGCTATGAATCTATGATGTGCTTTTTTCTATCAAAAAATGTTGTCCTCGCATAGCCCACTGCCATGTCGTGCTGGCCTTATGCCGGTTTTTTTTTTTTTTCGTGCTTCGGCCTGCCTAGTAGTTTCTTTTACTAGGTAGGTAGGTAGGGTGATAATGGTACTACGGTAACACTTTAAATAGGTGTATGAAAGTGTTGCCAAATAATTTATTCACCCATTGAAAGTATTGTACAAGGTGTATTGGATAAATTTAGGCAGCCCATATGGTTATGGACCTTATGGTGAAACACAAATGTGGTGGCACTTCATATGGCGGTGGTAGTATGTATTACGATTTTGCTTCAAATGATGATGTTGGTGTAACATTGTTACATGAATTGGTGTAGTATGCTATGATTGTACCTAAAGATGACTATGGCCAATTGGCCATGCCTCGAGTTAGGCCTAATAGTTGAGTCATGCGCTTTGCAATTTTAGTGTTGTGCCATTGGCCCAGCTCAGTGCCATCTTTAGTTATAGCTCGAAAAAAGTAATTAGTCATTGCTCAAAGGTAGGGATGGTTGCTTATCAGCTTATAGATATATGGTTATGGACCATATGGGGAAAGTAGTGTGAAAATATGCTCCCTAGTCAATAGTCTGTTTGAGAAAACTTAAGGTATACAATAACCCAAATCCAGTACTTTGCATGTTATAGCCATATGCTGATTCGCTATGAATGAATGGTCAAATTTGAGAAAATCCATGAAACTTCTGTTTTGTTCATTCTACTTGTAGAAGAAGTGTTATCAGCATTGGTCATGCCCTGGAGATTTCGGTGCGGTTTGCCTTTTGTTTTTCTTTAATTGTATGCTGTGCCCAAATTTTACTAAAAATTACAAACAAAGAAATGTAAGATAATCATTGAATATAACAAAATGGGTTTAATTATCAGATTTTCTTGTCATTGGACAACTTTCAATTGTCCTGTGTCTTATCAAGCTTCATTTCTCTTAGTAACTTCTTGTTTAGTATGGATCAATTTGACTTGTCATGTTAGCTATAATCCTCTTCTTACTCAAAAGAAAAACGAGGTTAATGGAATTTGTTAATGACGGAGTACATTGTAATGTTCCGCAACAGTCCTATTTGGATAAGAATTTACATTAAAGATGGCTGGTTTGTTGAAACAATTTCTCTGTGTGTGTGATTAGATGCAGCCCATACCGGTGAATCTATTTTGGCAAATAAAGGGCAAATGAAGGAGAGGCTAGTGGAATACCTTAAATCTGATACGTATCTGTACACTCCTTTGGAAAGTACTCGACATTGTGATAATATTGCGGAGAAATCTGTCATTTCTTCCCCAAGAGGTACGGTTCCTTTTGCTTTAATTAGAAATTTTTGAACGTTAGTTGATGATGGATTCGAGTGTTTGAAAGTGTTCCCAGAACTTTTGTACGACATTGGATTGTACTGGACCCTAAAGAACAACTTTTAAGGTGGGGCTTTCCTACTCTGCTTTGTCTCATACCCATACTAAGAGTCTATGCTTCAACAAGGAAAAACAATAGTATGGCATTATACCTTGAATCCAAATCTTCTGTCTTTGATTTTGTTATTCACATTTGTGGCGATTTTTCTTATTAGTTCATGCTATTATTTTAGGCTTGGTAACTTATTTTAGTAAAGAATTTTAGCCAATCAAAATTTCATGGGCATGAATTTGTATGAGTAACATATTTTAGGCTACAACCTCTCATTCACTTATTGAGTTCAAGTTGATTATGGAATTTTTTGAAAGCCTAGGACAGCTACCTCGAGGCTTTTTACCTGATGCTTACTTGGTCTTAATCTAAACAACAACACTTTAAGTAGGTTTAGAGACTAAAGATCAATAACATACCTATAGTATCTCAAGAGTCAAAGATTATTTTTATGTTTGGTCGATTTTTATATAAGATTGCAATCCATACATGGATTTCTTGGTCCAGCAATGATTTAGTTGGATTTACAACACTCTTTCAAGTATATCATTTGTTATGTTTGGTTAATTAATGTTGCGTATGCAAACTTAATTTATTCTGTTTGTTCTGATCTCCTGTTGCTTGCAGGACAGGAGTTGCGATTCACAAGAGTAACTAGTACAGTATTATCGGATAAGATTGCCTGGCAGACAAAAGAAATAGCTGAAAATTCTGTGGTTGAAAAGCATGGGGATCATGGCTCAAATGGTATGCCTCATGATGAAAGTATCTTATTCCCTAAAACTCCAGCGCTCCAGGAAGTAAAGAAGCAAGCAGCTCGCAGGAGTAGTCGATTATCAACATTCTCAGGTTCTTCTCACTCGATTGCAGTATGCTTTTGCTAAAAAAAAATAAGCATCTTTCATGATGTTATTCAAATATGCTTTTCGAGATGCACAGAAAGTTATACCTGCTTAGAAGTTAGTATATATATATATGCTTAAAACTCAATTAGTGTGCTGTAAATAAAGTGTGGTCAGCCTTCAGCTGTGAAAAATATTCACTAATAAGGGCTAGGTTATGATTGAGCTCTGGCTTTTGTGTGCTATATATGTGTTCTATGTTCACGATAAATGTTGTTGGTTGTATGTACGGGAGTTGAGGGTGGGATCCCTACTAAGCTTATAGTGATATACAAGCCTTGCACAGAAGTTTTAAATAGAAGGATGCAAGAAGCACTTAATTCCATGTGATGAATTATGAAATGTCGAAAAAATTGGTAAGCTACATGTGTAGCTTATGGCCCTAGGCTATGATGTATGGTCGTATGGATCCCTCTAATTGATTCCATGGTCTTTACAAATGCATCGTGGCATTTGGAAGACGATTCGAGAAAAAAAAAGTTTGTTGTAGATAAAATTCCAAGTCGCTGTAATTAGTTAGTACTACTGGATAGGTTATATTTTCATTATTGAATTGTTTTGGATATATTTGATGGAAATTGGAAAAGGTTGAATTGTTTATGACACTACAATTTGGTGTCATAACATTATCCACTCAAGGAAAAGGAATTTTCTGTATAGGCTATTTTCCAACAAAAGTCAATATAGTTTAATATAAGCTTAGTTAGTTGTGATTAAAGATACAAAGCTTAAATGACAAGAGAGTATGCGTAATGATCTCCGAGATTTGTGAATAGTATGTACAAGTACAAATTTCACCCCAACTATATAAAAATGTCCCTCTTGTAATCAACAATTCTCCAAATCCCCTCTCCTTGATCAAGTTATGGTAATCACAAGAAAAGTCGTCATTGAGCTAATCACTATCTCAGAGCGAGATTGGCCTTGCCTGTTATTTTTCAATTCAAACAATGATGTGGTCTTTAATTTCCCAAGATGCGTAACTATTTTAATTTTCATATTCCACCTGTACTTGATACAGTTTACCTGCATGCAATAATACAGAATGCTATAAGAAATTTTTGTTATCAACGAACGTGTAGTTACCTACATATATAAAGGTGAATTGTTTTGCGTATGTTAGATGTAAATGTGACTCCGTATTTTTCTGTGCTCCAGTTTTGAGACTGAAGATTGTATATGTTCTTTGTGCAGGTTAAAGTACTGGAATAGTAACGTAAACAAGTCTTTAAGACTACATTGCCATAAGCAGCTAGGGCATAGAAACTTAGACTGATTTCATTTTGTATATGTGCTTAATACTTATAACTGTATTATCTACAACTAAATACTTTGGTTAGCTCTTGACATCTCAGGACAGTTTGTAGCGAGTAATATGTCGAATGTTCTTTCGATGAAGTCTAGAATCACCAAAAGGAAATTGCTTTTTGTCGAAATTAAAAGTAATATATAGCTCTTTTAAGTTTTGAGCATCTTCAATTTATAAACTTCTTCCATGTTCTTTATGTTCATCTGGGAGTGCTATAATTCCAAATGCTGAAGTGTTGGTTGAAATCACAGTTTCATAGACATTCTGATTTTGATTTACGACACCAACCAGGAACAAACTTACCGGTTACCCTGCAGGTATAACTAGATAGAAATCAAAGAGGCAAGACTAGTGTAAATTTGAGGGTTGAGTCGTTTAGTGAACTCAAGTTTAGATTGTCATGGCCGTGTTTGGCTGGTCATGTCCGGAGACTTATATACAACAGCAGGTTGTGTTGAGCGGACCTAGCCATTTTACTCTTGAACAAGGAGGTATAGATTGTTTATTGAGAATGAAAACAAATCCTATGTTTCAACCATGAGCTCATCCAACATAGTCTCAAGAACCAACGTGATAAGATCATGATTTCAAATTTCAAACAAGCTCTTCTCGTGACATTAAACCTAATTCCATATTGGTACAAAAAGAAGACTATTCTCCAACGAGTTAGATAAAAACAAATCGCTTAATATATACGTGGATACTGTTATTCGGTACAAAAAGAAGACTATTCTCCAACGAGTTAGATAAAAACAAATCACTTAATATATACGTGGATATTGTTATTCGGTCATATTTTATTGCACGGACTACATGTATTTTCCCTGTCATTTTTAATCTCCCTCAATAGTTTTCTTTAGCCTAATTTAGTCCATAAAATCCAAAATTAAAGAAGGTGTTAAAATTAAAAGTCATACTCTAAACAATAGCAAAATGAGTGGATGACATTATTAGTGATACTAATTGACACAAAATGTAAGCAAGAAAAGAAGTGTACTAGATGAAGGGAGAAAGAGGGACTACACTCTCAAGAAAGGAAATGCACCCATGTGGTGACCATGTGGAAGATAAGCAAGTTAACTCTTTGCCAAAGCCAAAGCCAAAGCCAAAGCCAAAGCCAAGCCAATTTAAACCAACAATTTTGAGCTTGCTCTTATATTTTTCTGGCTTTTGGTCCCACTTCTTCCCCTTTTTTTCGACTTGTTTCCTCAATCCCGCCAATTTTCCGTTGTTGACAACCTTTTTCTTATGGGTGTGATAGTTATGAAATTAGTACGTTGCTATCAATATGTGCAAATTGATGTAGTATGTAGTTGGTTCCGTTTTATATTATTAATAACGATTAGATACTTTCTACTCACATTTTATGTCAAACCGTTTCAAATAATGTGAAACAGAGGTAACATGTACTAATCAATGTGCAAACCGAAATATTTTGGCTTTCTATGGACGTATCTAGCAAGAACTAAGTTAGTATTGTCATGGACTCATGGTAATATATCCTAATTGAATTTTTAAATTAGAAATTCAAATGTGTCCAAACCCAAATGTACAATATCGACCAAAATGAGATTGATTTGAGTCAATCCGGGCTTAAAACTTAATAAGAATAGATTGACCTTTGTTCCATAAAGAGTTAATTCCTAATGGGTCATAATGACTTGGCTCGAATGACTCATCACCCAAATATGACCTATTTATCACCTTTAATTTTAAATTGATTGGAAAAGCGTATTAGTTCAAATAGTGTTGGCTGAGTATTTCCTCAACTTTAAACAGACGCAGTGATTAGATTTCATAAGCTATTTTGAATTTTTAGCAATGATGTAAGTTAGTGTTTGATTAAAGGTATCATCTCACCCTAATTTATAAATGGTTATGAAACTTTTCTCAACCTCCCAAAATATCAAATTGTTAACAATTTTACCGTGTTTCATTTTTGTAAATCCCTTTGCTTTAAAACTATTATCCCACAAAATTCACCTTTCCACTCAATATCTCTTACTTTATCTATTGTTTTCCACACTCACTCTTTTTAATACCTTCTCTATTACTTAATCACATTTTTCTTAAATCCGCCCATCCACTCAGCTATATTCTTAATATCGGTGTACATACTCTATAATAAATTTTAAGACCAAATAAATAAATCGAAGATAATAGTTAAAAACTAAAAATTTGTACTATGATGATTTTTGTAGTACTATGAAGCTTTCTACTCTACTACCTCATATAATTAATTTCTATAGAATATATTTAAATTCAAAGCCTCACACTTATGATAATAAAAATCAAGGTAAATTTTATAAAACCTTAATACATTATACACCTAATTTCCAGCCTTTAAATGCACTCTCTTCTCTCTTCTCTCTCTCTCTCTCACACACACATACATTTATCAATTGTCAGTTATCTTTGAGTTAGCTTTTTGTATAGTACCTCAATTACATGTATACAACATGCATCTAATATAGCAAAAAAGGAGAAAAAATAGCTTACTAAATGTGGTTATTTAATGCATGGTAGTGACTTTTATGTGTGTCAATAATAAGACCAACAAGGTCTCTCTCACTTGTGTTCTCTATCAGTCGTCATAGTATGAATTGTGGTGGTCAAATAATATTGATTTCTTCCTCAATTTTTATCTTAACCACATTTCTAATTTTTGATTTTTGGCTTAATTATTGGTTGATTTGATTCAATTTGCATCGTGCATTATCAGTAATCTACGCAATATTTCTTAGCACTCACATGGTGTCTTTGCTATCATTGGATAAAGAGATTTGAAGGACATAGTTTAGTTGAGCAATTTGTACGGATAGTTGAGAGATTTTCTACAACTAATTAATTATTACATCCAAGACAAATACTACCTCGGCTTTTAATATCTTATATATTATAGTATAGTTATACTTGAAACAATTATTGTCAATGCATTAGTTTGATCTCAATATACGAAGTATGAAATATATTCTACCTCGGTTTCATATTATTTGCAGTAATTACACATTTTATGTTAAATCAACGAAGGCGCTATATAATGAGACATTAGTTAAAATTATTTTTAAAAAAACTTGATGTATAATCATTAGATAATAAATGATAATAATTTTTTTTGAGAGGATATTTTCTTTTATCTTTTTATATGTATAGTCAAACTTAATAGGTAAATAATACAAAAGGTCACAGTATGCTAGTACGTAGTATATCATTTTCAAAAAAAAAAAAAAAAAAAAAAAATTGTTCTTTGTAAGAAATATATTGGTCCTTTGTATTGGCCTAGACATCATAAAAATTTGGCTTGACAAAATTTCACTTTTTAATCATTTCTCTAAATTAATTTTTTAAAGATAGATAGTCATTTAATTTGACTATTATGCATAACGAGTACTTTATTTGCATGTGATAAGTGTTCTTAATTCTTCTTACATATTGCATTAAACAATTTTCAGTTAAAAGTTTTGGTTGATTAGAAAACTTATTCTGTACATACCATAAAACTTTGTTTTCTAGAATGACTTTAAAAACCGTATAAGCTTATTATCAAGAAAGGTATTAAGGTATGTGGTAATTTAGACTTATTCAATTATTGTAAATTTGTAATGCATGTTTGTTTTCTTATAAATAGCTTGGTTTGAAGTCATCATGATATAACCGTTTTTGCAATTTCTTATTATTTTCAAGCTTCTAAGAGTGTCAACCATCTGATATATAAAATGCGCAAACAAACAGAAACATATACTCCCACACACACAATCCCTAAATTACACTTTAGATTTTTTTTCGCTCCCAAACATTAAATTCTCTATAGACTCACAATAACTAACACATCAAAGACTATATAACCATCCCAAAAAAAACTTTACCCACAAAATTTATTAGCTTACATACCAAATGAACATTCCACTTTAATTCTTCTTATAAAAGGGTTTGACAAATTTATCACCAACCATATGGGTATCAACCAAAATCAAGAAAAATGCCAATTCATGACATAAATGACGTATAAATTTAAAGAATTATTTATATATTTACTAAATTTTATCTGTTCTTGTAACAAGTAACAAAAGTTGGGATTGCACAACATTAGGGAAACCCCCCCCCCCCCCCCCCCCTTTATTCTTGATGACTAAATTTTGAAAAAAATTTGGCATGTCTTCCAGGGCTTGGGGTGGTGGGCCATAGCCCACCCATGTGCCTGCATGTGCTGTGTCTTTCTTATTCAAGGCCCACCATTTCTCTTTCATACCTTTTTCTTCTTAACAAAATAAATGGTGTGTTTTCAACACCTTTCTTCTCCTTCTCATGTGCATCCTTTCTTCTTCTTTGTTTAATAATCAATCCTAGTGAAGATTTTTTATTCCAAGGTATGTATTTTCATCCCTATTATTTCTTCATCAGCACCTTTTCCTCTTTTTTTTTATATATAAGAACAATAATAATGAATTTTCAGTATGATATGATATAATATAATATACATATATTCTTCAGTTTGGTGCGTAGTTCTTACTTTTTTCATATGCTTGCTTCACATGATAATTTATGTACATTTGCTCATCTTTAAGTTTCAACAACATTACACATTTTTCAAAATTGAAACATTCGGTCATTTGCAGTGAATAGTTAGTTGTCAAGCTGGTCGTACCTTGTATTGAAAAAACCAAAAGAAAAAAGTATATAGCCAACAAATTTTCACATGCATACATATGAAAGATTTAATATTGGTTCCTCTTTCAAACATTCTTCTTCAATTTTCTCTTTAATGTAATGGGTTGTTACCTTTTCTTCAACACATACATAACTTGTACATAATACTTGCTAGTCATGTATAAACATGTACACCATTATATTGAACCATATTAATTACAAGCTTCTTTTTAAGCAGAATGCATACTCATAAATCTCTCAAGAAAGAATTCTTGAAGAAATGGATAACAAGCCTTCAAATATGCAGCTCTTCAAAAGAGAACATGAACTTGTTGGAAAGGAAGAAAGCCATAAAACTATCAGCTGACCTAGCCATGGCTTCCACTCGAAATGGTAAACGATCTTGGAGTCGTGCCCTCATCATCAAGGCTTCTAAAGATAGAGAAACCGGAAATTTAGCTAAGCAAATCTTGGGTGACAAAACAACTTATAAGTGTTTTTCACAAGATGACCTCAATGCAACAACATTAACAACAACAACAACAACAACAACAACAAAGCCTAAATCGCGAACAATTTTTGTTCAAAGCAATAAGAAGAAGCCTACTTGTTCAAGGAACATACGCAAGTTTAGGAAATGTGATCCAAAGAAATGTGGTGTGTCAAATAGTAATAAGGTGAAAAAAGCTAGGGCAATGGCAAAGAGATTGGTTGAGAAAAGAACACAAATACTAAAAGGGTTAATTCCTGGGGGAGAATACATGGATGAATACTCTTTGGTCAAGGAAACACTTGACTATGTTGTCTCACTTCGAGCTCAAGTTGATGTGATGCAATATCTTGCTAATTCTCCTCAACTCTTCATTCATATTTAGGAAGAAAAAAAAAATTATATATATAGTATATATTTATATGGTTTTTAGAGATAATATATATTTAGTAATTTGGGGGTTATATTTTGTAGCTTATTGTTTAATTAGCCTACTATATATATATGCTTAATTATTAAGGACTAAAAAGAATGAAAGATTTGTCTTGTATAAATGGTGAATCATATGGTAGTTCAATAGGAACTAATATAAAGGCTAGCTTTATTGTCCAATTTCTCTTTTAACAATTTGATTTTTGATTTCTTAGACTCGACTACTAGCTTAGTTTTAGGCATAAGTTTTATGCTTTTATCAATCTTTAATTGACGCAGTCAGAATTAATGGAGGAAAAGCAAGCGCAATTATTTCTAATACGAAAAACAGATTTACAAGCGATAAATCGGTACAACACCATAATCCACCAGAAAAGAATAAAACTCTCGAGAATATTATTAAAATTTTCAAAAACCGCATATTAAAGACAACTAAAACGTTTAAATAGTCTAAACAAAGCCCTAATACGAAAATAAGTTAAAATTCGAAAACATGTTTAACCGTTGTTTTCAAGCCTTAAATGAACTCGAATGGCTCAACAAGCTTGTTGCTCACAGCGTTGTAAATTGGACTCGTTGGCCCTTTTCCATTTCCGATTCTTTGTGATTGTCTTAAACGATGTTTTGAAACCCCTTTACTAAATAATAGTTGTACAATTGAATTCTTATAATCCAATATTCCAATATATAAACATTTAGGGAAACTTGCATTTTAAGAGGTAAGGAAGGATATTACACATATAGTGATAGTGTATAGTAATTGACAAAGAAGGATCCAACATAATCGTTGGGGATTACATGCACCCACTTGAGTAATTATATTATAATCAAATCGCTTATACATTATTACATTTTACAGTTTATGAAAATTATGTATGGTTAGGATGTACATTATAATTTGTAGTTGTTGGTTAGATGGTCTAAGGTTCATTCAAATCTTATCATACAACTTTAAGTTTTGTTGTCATTTAATTTTTCATTTTTTTTTTACAACTTCCTTAAAAATATAATACACCTACCTTGAAAATCAAGTGAAACATAAATACATATATGTAATGCTAAACAAAATTAATATATAGAGTTGTCTCATGCATGTAAACACCACATTACAAAAATAATATAATAAATAGATCATCAAAACATATTTTAAGAACAATGTGTAACTGAAGTTTATATATATATATATATATATATATATATATATATATATATATATATATATATATATATATATATATATATATATATATATATATATATATATATATATATATTATACCTATAAAAAATCTAAAACTATTACAAAATTATAATCCTAAAAGTAGTTCGTAGCACGTACAATCTAGTACAATCTTATACTTTGTAGTAATATCCGTTAATCTTGTGTATACAGTGCCTACATGGTTTAAATTTGTAGAGATTTATAAACGGAGAAAATGTTTGAGAAATGAAATATCTAAGGTTACAAATTAGAACTTGAGATGCAAGGCAATACAATGTTCTATGTAACATGTATGTATGTGGGGGTTGTGAGAGTGACTGAGTGAGAACGAAAAAAACCAAGTTAAGCTTGATCTAGTGGGTAAGTTTGTATCTCACAGTTAAGAGGTTGTGAGATCAAACTCTATTAGAGGCACTTTGGGGATAGGGTTTTCCTTATTCTTTTCCTCATTTCTAAAGTGCCTAGTCTGCTATTTCAAATCGAGAGAACCTGTGAAAGGTTCCACTCTGATAAGGTTCTTCGCCTTATCAACCAAAAAAAAAATGAGAACGAAGAGCATTTGCCTTTCTCTTTTTTTCTCAAGATGCAGTGGGCTAAAATAATGGACCACATATTTATTGGGCCTTATAAATCAGGGAGTGCAACTGTGCAAGTGATATCCTTACTCCTTAGTCCTTGGCTCCTTGCCGTACATTAGTCGACAGTCCTAAAATTTTACTCGTATTAGTTACGTCTACGTGATGCTTCTTATATACTCCGTATTAATTTCTGAAAAGAAGTTCATTTGCTAAATAAATAGTGAGATTTTATTACTCCACTCCTTTTACTTTATTTCACTTGCTCCTTTTACTGAATTTTGTGAGAGCCTTTTAAATTGACCATAATGTTACCAAGACAAATACTACGTATATATTGTTGTATGAATAGGATTACAGTAAGTTTCTGGTCACAAGGTGCGACAGGGTGTCAAGTTAGCAAAGAAATGGCAAAGTAACCCCACCGACCTAGTAACCCCTGACCGATTAAGTAATTCCTGACCAAGTAACCCGTCTGACCTAGTAATCTCTCTAATAACCCACCTAGTAACCCCTGGTAACCCCTGACTAAGTAACCCCTCCGACCTAGTAACCCCTCCAATCCCACAAATTTACTGAACTCACAAACAAATATGGCTATAAAGGCCAAATTATATCATGAAAACTCTAGATCTAGAGTTTTATGGCTGAATTTGTCCATAAATCACCGCCCATGAAACCACCAAAAACCACCACAACCGACGAACGAACTACCGATGGATGAACCACGTTAGAGAGAGAAAGTTTGAAAGAGAAAATGTAAGGAGATATCTGAGAGGAGAGGAGAGAGAGAGAACAGATCTTAGAGGAGAAGAAGAAAAGAGGAGAAAGAAAGAGGAAAGAGAAAAGAGAAAGAAGAAGAATTAAAAATATATATATATTGTGGCTGGTCGTACGGTGCGGCCAGCCGCATATAAAACTTTGTGATAGGATTATAGTACTGCCTTCCCGTTCCCTTAAATTTACAACATGGGTGGGAAACACGGTTTTTAGGAAGACGAAAGAGATAGTGTAAATATTTAGGTCAAATTTTCTAAATCCGCCACGGCTACAATATATATTACTTGTACTTCATACTTTACCCTTTTTGAAAACCATAGTCATACTATTCATTATTATTTTTATTTTATTTCTTAATGTACCAATTTATTATTTCCATTACTTTATGTTATTTACACTTTTACTGACTTCATTTTTGGTAATGATTCTTTACAATTTACCCCCCACCACCCCTCAGTAGAGCTGTCAATTCGGGTAAACGGGTCGGGTTTGGGTCGGGTCAACTCGGGTCGGGTCAATTTAGATTACACTAGTAGAAAATATCAAAAAGGCACCCCCTCATTGGCACCGGTTCAGTCCAAACCGGTGCCAAAAATGGCCTACAAAATTGGTGGGAAGCTGAATCAGAGTAAAAGGCACCGGTTTACTTCAAACCGGCCGGTGCCAAAATCATAAAGGCCACCGGTGCCTTTGTGAACCGGGGCTTTAATTATTTAAAAAAAAAACGGCCATTCTTTACTTATTACTTATAACCCTAAATCACTCTGCCTCTTCTATCTCCTCTCCCTCCACCTCTTCTTTCTCCTCTGCTCTCCCTTCTCCTCTGCTCTCCCTTCTCTTTCCTCTAGCTCTCCTTCATTCCCAATCTCTTCTCTTTCTCTTCGAGCATCTCCGCAACAACAACAACAACACCAACACCACCGCAACAACAACACCACCGCAACAACAACAACACCACCGCAACAACAACAACAACACCGCAAAGCCGCCACCACCATATCTTCTCTTTAATTTTTTATGGGTTTCATCAAAAAAAATTTGGTTTAATCCACCACGAACACATGCATGAGCAAGGTTAAGGTATAATTTCTTGATTTTAATTCGATCTTTTTTTTCTGGGTTGTTAACTGATTTTTGAATTTTCTTTTATTTTAATCGATTTTTTTTTCGAATTTTGGTTTTTTTTAACTCAATTTTAATAAATTTATTTTTTTTGATTTTTATTTGATTTTTGATTTCTGGGTTTTTATTTCGATAGCAATTTCGATTTTTTTGTTTTCGATTTCTGGGTTATTTTGTTTCCGAATTCAATTTTGATTTTTTTTTTTTCTGATTTTTGTTTCTTGTTTATTCGATTTTAATACATTTTGTTTACGATTTTCATTTTTTGTTTTTCGGATTTCTTCGTTATTTTTTTTCCAATTTCAATTTTGATTTTTTTTTCCGATTTTTGTTTATTCGATTTTAATATATTTTGTTTTCGATTTTGATTTTTTATTTTTCAATTTCTGGATTATATTTTTTCTTATGTTTGATTTTGAATTTTTTTTTTCGATTTTTTGTTTTTGTTTATTCGATTTTAATATATTTTGTTTTCAATTTTGATATTTTGTTTTTTGATTTCTGGGTTTTTTTAATTTTTATCTAGGTTTTTTCGATTTAAATTTGTTTTTCGATTTCAATTTATTTCCATTTCTGGGTATTTTTCGATTTAGTTTTTTTTTTGGTTTAATTTTTTTGCGATTTCAAATTTTTTTTCTGGGTTTGAATCTTAGTTGGTTTTTTTTCGAAGCTTAATTATATTAATCGTTTTTTTTTTGCTTTAATTGGTGCAGGTATCTTGAGTTAGATCTTAAATGGAAGAATCAAGATGCAAGAATATTGAGTTTATTTTTTTTATTTATATTGTAATTTTTATTTTATATGTTGTAATTGAACTACTAATGTATTGATCTATATTGTAAAATTGTTTTGATTATATATTGTAAATTTTTTATTATGTTGATTGAAATTCGATCTATATTTTGATGTTCTAAATAATTTAAGTCGATTTTTAATTGTTTGATGTTCTAATATATATATATATATATATATATATATATATATATATATATAAAAATTTTTGGCACTTTTGGCACCGGTTAACCGGTACCAAAAACAATTCCATAATTTTTTTTTAACCCATTTTTGGCACCGGTTTGAACCGGTGCCTTTTTAAACCACTTTTTGGCACCCCCCACATTGGCCCGGTTCAAACCGGTGCCTTAGGCTGGGTTTGAACCAGTGCCAAATTCATTTTTTGACGTAGTATTAATTCCATAACCTAAGCGGGTCGAGTTTGGGTCGGATCATGTTTGAGTCGGGTCACGTCGGGTTATACTTGTTATCGGGTTTGGGTCGAGTTTAGGTTGGGTTACATTCGGGTCGGGTGAACAATAGGTCGGGTTTAATTCGGGTTTCACGTGTTAAAACAGATTAGGGTAATTCTCGGGTTCGGTTCAAGTCAATAATTTGAGGGTTAGAATCAAGTCGAGTCATTCTCGGGTTTGAGTCGAGTTAGATTCAAGTCAATAATTTGCGGATTATATTCAGGTCGGGTCATT